ATCAATCCTAGTAATGCTATACTACTTTGCAGATCTTATCTTATATTGGTTGATTGATCTCAGTTTTGTTAGTTATAAAATTCTATATAGATACAACTAAAACCCAATTTGGTACTTTTATATTGTACAAAGAAGTTATACACCAAACTTCAAGATTTTTCCTTCTATAATTAGATTATTTGGCTATACTAGAGGTGCTTCTAATTTTGGTTAGACCAATTCTTTATCATAGTCCATCCTTATGTTTATCATTTTTTTTATTATTTTAGTCTTGATTACTTTCAGACTACTCTTCTAATCAAATCATTTTCTTAGATTCCAATTAGAACTTATTTGCACAATCTGTTAATTATCTTTTTAAGCAAGTACCTTACAAATTAAATATAAGAATGTTGGTATTGCCTATATTTAGAAGTATAAAGATATTAGTATTGTCTTAGTCTAAAGAATTTATATATGCAATCTTTCTATAACTATAACTTTCTGTAACAACTGCTTGTTATGCATAATGCCTGTACTTATGATTGTGTCTTCTTTTAGAAATTTCTATTTTTATTATTGTACTGCACTTGAACTTAACCATGAGGCTTTACATTTAATCATAAGCTTCTTATTAGGTTACAGAAACTAAAATCTTTTAATTTTGTCTTCAGTTGAATTTGAATCATTAACCTTAATTATGAAAAGTATAAAAGCTTAACTGCTAAGCTATGAGACTTATACTCATAATGTTATAGAATAAATAATTATTATTTTATTATTATTATTATTTATTATTATTATTTATTATTATTATTATTATTATTATTTGGTATTAAGATGACCTCTTTGGCCTTTTAACTTTTATTAATATTTTTTTTTAATAATGTGATTTAATAAATTATTACAGAAGAATATACAATTAGTTACATATATAACTTTTCTATATTACCTATTTAAGAAATCTGCTTAAAAGTTTTCTACCAATTATCATATTTAACATCTTTGCTTGAATGTTCTATTTTAAACTCTTTGAACCTGCAATCTGTATTAACAGCACTGGATTATATCCAAAAACCAGATTATTGTCTTAAACTTAAAACTATTTTATCTTTAAGATAAATCCTTCAGAGCCTTCTATATCTATTTTTACAGCTAATCTAAATATTGCTATATCAAAACTAATATTTGCAGTTAGAATTATATCATTAAACTGCTATGTCTTTGTAGAGTTTACTTAAACTCTAGCATCTACTTTATAGCATAACCCTAGTATTTTAGTATATCTCTGCCTTTTGTTTAGATTTCTAATTTAGATAGCTTATATAGAACTATAACCAGTTTATCAGTATATTAGATCAGCCTAATATATTTTTCTTTTAATTCATTCTGGTAACCTAGTTAATAGTACTTTTGAGCCTTCTTTAACTCAGAGGTTTTTGCCTATCTGGGTACTACTATTTTAGTATTTGTTTTCTAAGACTAGTCTTTACAGTAGTACTATTAAAGATTTAACTACCTTTCTACTTAGGTCTTTTCAAATGAACTTTTTGTTATTCAATTTCAATAGATTTATATAGCCATAAAGACTTATCTAATATTTACACTACTTGATTGTCAGTTTGCATTTCTTTGTATAATTACATAAATACTCTATGACCTGCTAGTTATATTGTTGTAACCATTATTACAAGTATTCTAATCTAATTATTAATAACAGTTGTCATAATATGAATATTATATAAATGATTATCTAAATTTTTATCATTGATATAATTTAAATATTTAATTTACTATTTGAAGAGTTAACAACTTGACTATTTTACTAGGTTGTCATATCTTATTATTATTATTTAGTATTAGTTATTTTTATTATTGTATTATTATTATTAATAGTTATTGGAACTTTTTAGTTGTTTAGTAATTACTTAGTTACTTAGTTGTTTAATCATTTAGTTGCTTAGTTAGTTAGTAATTTGTTACTTAGTAATCACTTAGTCACTAATTGCTAGAACCTTTTAGTTGCTTAGTAATTATTTAGTAGCTTAGTTACTTAGTCACTTAACACTTAATTGCTTAGTTATTTAGTTATTTAATTACTTAGCTGCTTAGTTTACAGATATATAAATACTGCTAAAATTTTAAGTCTATTAAGCAACAGACATCTCTCTTCTTTTTAATATTATAAATATATTTTGAGATTCTTTAGAAACAGAAATCTAAGAATACTTCTTTTTGTAATTACTTTAATAAACAGTTTTTAATTATAAATTGTATGATATTCTTCTTCTAAAATAATTTCTATAGGCAAGATTTATCTTTCTTTTAGTAAATAAAGTAAAGTTATTAGCATTGCATTATCTTTTTTAAACTGTTTTAGAGAAGAGTATAGTTTTTAACAATATCTAACAGAAGCTATACTTCTCTTTTAGGAATTTTCTGTATTATTATTATAATATAAAAATTAAAAAGACTTTTACTAATAACAAATCTTCCCCAATATCACTACTAATTTTTTTCAATTATATGAATAATCTATCAATCAGATTTTCAAAATTATTAGCAACAAATATTTTTTAATTATATGAATTATTTACCAATTAATAAAAACTTTTTTGTACATATTAACCAAATATCATTATTTATAATTTAGATATATTAAATAACTAAATAGTGCTATTTTTTTATATTATATATTTTAGTTTTTCTATTCACATTTAACAAATTATATAGTAAAAAAAAATATAGAAAAAATTGGCTGAAAAAAATTTTTTTTGGAAAATAAAGCATAGAGTTATATATCTTTTTATTATTATTATTTTTTTGAATTAAAATTATATAGAAATTACAAATATTATATAGCTGAAAGTTATTTTAAACAGCATATATTATTAGGATGTCTCCAAGTTAAGAGCAAAGTTTTTTCCTGTTATACTGTTCTACTTTCTTAATTATTTTACTAATTAAATTAAATTTTTTTTTAATATTTTTAACCTATCAAGAATTGCTAACTGTCTTTTGTTTTTCGAGAAGATTTAATGCTTTTGTTGTCATAGCTATTAATTTGTTATAAATTTTATCACTATTTTATCTGAGTTATTATCTTTAATATTATTATGAAAAATAACAAATTCAGATTGTACTTTAACAAGATCATAATCATGTTTAGATAAGAATGGTGACTGATGATTTCTTTTTATATGATTGAAAAATTCACTAGAAATCAACTCTTTTTGTTGAACCAAATGCTTGCAAATACTGAACTGACTAGTTAAATAATATAAACATCTATATATATATTAATTCACATCAGTTAGATATGTTTTGTTAATGGTATATGTTAATAAAGTTTTCTATTTTAACTTTAAGTGCTTTATCCATTCTGGCTTTTTTCTTTCAATTAATATTTGTTGCAACCTTTTATCTAATAAGTTATTACCTTAGTTAGTAAAATATATATTACTAAATCAAGATGTAGCTAAAAAAATTTATAAAGAAATCTTTCTTTATAACTTTTCAATGCTCTTCTACAAACATAGTAGTTTTGAGAATAGATATTTTATTTTTACAAGTAGATCTTGCCTATAATGGCCACTGTTAGTTACTATACCATTCATCTTATAAATAGGACCAAAGTGAAACTAACAAATTATTTTTACAAAAAGAATATGCTTTATAAATTGCAGCCTTCTAAATTAATTCTTCAGTAATGAATTGGCTATTACATATAAAAATTAATAGATGTTAGCAAAGATGCTTTTTTATCATTTTTCAAATTATTTTTTAGTGTTCTTTAGTGCAAAATTTAGATGATTGCATAATATATTAAATGAAAATCATGTATTGAATTCAGATAGCAGGTTAAATAAGGCATTTCTAGATTTTTTATTACTTGCTCATTATGTTATAACAGCTCTCTTAATATAACACTTATATAGCTGTATTTTAATTTTACTTCAAGTAAAGCATGCAACATTAATTTGAAAAAATCTTTATCTGTATATAGAAATTCTGGTCAAATTCACTCATTATGCACTTTATACAAAAGTCTTGCATAATAGAGATACAGATTCCATCATTACAGTTTTTATTATTTTCTAAAAATAGATAGCTAATAGAAACTCTGTACTATTTACTTCAGCTTGAAAGCAATAAAGCTTCATTCTGAAGTTATTTGTATTGTTTGAAAATTACAATACATTACATTATATTAAAAGATTCAAATTTATTTAAATAAAGCTTTGTTTTATTTTATTAATTCAAAATTTGATATATAAATATTTTACTTACAGGTTGCATCAATTTTACATTTACAAATATTAATATTTTTTTGTAATAAATAGTTATAAATTTTTGTTATGATGGCTAAAGCACAAATGGGTTGTAATTTTTTTAAGATTATTTTATGCTAGCCTTCCTTGATCTACTGTATTGCTGATTTATATGCATTATTTTGGCATTTATATTTAGTCTGCCCTAATTCTGTTTATCAAAAATAGATTTGCTTTTGTTTAATTGATAAACTTATATTATTATCAACAAGCTGTGCATATATTTCTCAAGACAACAAGTTGATATTATTCTTAATAAATTCCTTAACATTTTCAGGTACAGTAACATCTTCAGGTCATGCATATATTAGCTTATATTTTAATATTAATGTAATAGTATTATTCAATTAACTTATAATAATCTTAATGGTATCATTATAATCAAATCAATCTATTAATAGTCTATTATAATGTTTTGCATAATCCTTATTCTTTTTTGGTTTGGATACTAATATACTTAACTGTGAACAGTAGTATTAGTAAGTAGTTATAGATTTTTCTGTATATGTATGATGATAATTTTTGGATAAATTTGGATAAGTATAATATTTATAATTTATTAAAAGTATCATATTATAGAAACTATTTTATTTTTAATTTATATATATCTATAAAAATTCATCTGCATTTTTAATTAACTTAATTAATTCTTCAACAGCTTTTTTTGTTGATTTATCAAACATTGATAAATCAATAGCACATTGAAAATGAAATGAAACATATTTTCAAATCATCATTAGACTGAAATAAATGTATATTTAAATGTTCAATAATATAACTACAAAGGTCTGTTGGCTCAATTAGTTCTAAATTATTTTCATTTTCTTGAGTTTGGTCAATATCTTCATAATTTATATTTTTTTCAATTTCTAATTGCCTTTTTTTGGCATTTTGAAGACCTTTTTTTCTATTATAATACACATTACATGTACCAAATTTTTTTAAAATACCTGTTACTTCAGGCCTTGTAAATTTACTATTAGGCTTTATATAATAGCAAGTAGAACAAAAAAAAGTATCTATTATAACAAGAAGTTTTATGAAGTAAACAAATATTATTTTATTTTATTAATTTTTTTGGAAGGTGTATAGATAGAAACATGAGTTTGTAAAGAGAATTCTTTTTTTTTTTTTTTTTAAATATTAAGGTGAGTACTTGTGACCCAGGATTTTATTGATAGTACATTCAGCTAATGGT